TCACGCAGCTGATTTATGAGGCTCAGGCTAATAATTGTCAATTGCTAATGCGGGGGTTGGAAGGGGGTTAATGCCAGTAGACTATGCTAAATAAAATATGCTTTGACCCCACTGGGGGGAAAAGCAGGAGGCCAGAAAAAAAATGACAGATGCTTTTTCAGATTGCCCCCCTCCCCAAAAAAGCTTGTTGCAGTTTAACTGAGTCTAAATCACAACGTGGTTCGGCGTCTGTGACTTAAAACATTTATCTGGGACCTGACTCTGACTCTAAGCCTGACTCCGGCCTGCATACCCCATCCGTCCGCCTGCATGGCTGCAATAAATTAATAACAACCAAACAATGTGTCGTGGAGAGGCGGATTCAATTACCAAGTTTATTTACAGGGAAAATCTCATGAAGGCCATTGACCAACGTTAAACAGCGCGGGATGAAACGATGACAAGAGCTCCGATAAGAATTTAATTCCATCTCATTTCAGACGATTTTATGAATCAAATTCTTGAACACTGGCAAGAGATTTAATGATCACATCTTTGCGAAATCTTATTTCAGGACCGGTCGATGGCATTTCTCTGCGTTAATGTCGACTTAGAGGTTGGAGTAATTTAGTAATTGATTCCTTGCCTGGCTCTCGCCCGTGCCAAGGCCGCGTTTGAGGGTAATATGTTTCCTAATCTTATCCACTGGAATAAGATTTTTATGTTAATCCACTGGCTGGTCTCTTGGTCACTTGGGAAGAGCAGATAAAGGCTCAGAGGGGCCAGAGAGGCCAGAGGAGACGAGCTGTGCTCTGCTGAAGCTGGCTGCAGCATCTGGAAGACAGTTAACGTAAGATAAGAGGGAAAAATTACACACAACACAACCTGTAGTCCACGAATTCAAAAGTTACATTCACAATTTATTACGTGATCATTATAAACCCATAAAGGCGAGATGAAATGGCGCTAAGTTGATTTTTTTTTTCCCCTCCCTTCTTCTCCTTTACTGTATCTGACGATCACCGTGACCTCTGGTGATCTTATTTCATAGATTTTAACAAGCTGTAAATGCACATAATATTTTCTCCATAAAAATACAAAATACACAAACAACAACACGAGACTGAGCCTGCTCGCAGCAGGCTGTATCCCTGGCGTCTTTTGTGCTGGCTGAACGTTTTTTTCTGCAGACATGGAGAAAGACACCAGCTTCTAATTGAATTTTGCCTCTTTCCCAGATGTCACTTTCCATCTGTGCGCTTGGAAACGCGATGCGCCTTTTACGCACCAGCCTGGAACACCTTAAAGTCTGATGTTTGATCCCCCTCACTCCCCCCACCCCACCCCAACCCATCCTTTTGAGTTAACATGTTTTGCGATGTTCAGTTTTACATGGTGAGAAGAAAGTACACCTAGACAAAATATCCAACACGAATGTGATTTATTACAGAATAATTGCCGCCCATTAATAATAACCCGAATTATTAGTGTAAAGATGTAGCAAAGCCTCCTTTCTCATCTTGTAATCGTTTTTCTCAGATATTTTTCACGCATTTTGCAACTAGAGGGAGACCTTCTATCCATCCCGTCAAATTGAGACATCAGACTAAATTGCCATGAGAAATCGTCCCCAAAATGAATTTTTTATCTGCTCCAGAGCCCCTCCCCTGCAACACGCGGCCTTATTAATAACCGTTTTGATAAGCGTAGGATTTCCTCGGGCGGAGGAGTGAGACATTGTAGGTGAAATGTGACAGCGGGATCCTCCCATCGTTCTCTCTCTCTCTCTCTCTTTATCCTCCTCTGTTACTTTGCCTTTTCAGGGGAGTGGATCCATCCAATCCATCCAGAGACAATGGCATTTTGTTCCACTTTTTGTCCCTCCTGTCGACCCGCATTCCTATATTGCTGAGCAACGATAGTGTGCACTAAATGGAGAGGAGTTCCTCCCATATCCCTTCTATTGTCCGGCACTTGCCAAGGGAATTTAAGGTCTTGCACACATCGCGTTTTCCTGATTTATTTAAGTGAATACATATGGTTGAGGCCCTTTATTTGCACCGTAATTACGAATTAAAGGACAATTATGTTAGTGTAAATCACTGTTTCTTCCTTACTCACGGTGTTTGGAAAAGGTGCTCTGTATGGAGAGTGTTTCAACCTGCAGCCAACAGACCCTGTGCATCCACATAAAAGCTAACTGCACGTCTTGCATCGTGCAAAATCTTTTCAAAAGTCATTGAAGTCAACTCACATTGCAGATTTTCTCCTTTCAGATTTTATATTCTCACATCAAAACAAAATCAAACTGCGGCTTTGGGTGCCAGCCGAACCAGCTGAAAGAATTAAAAGATGTTGAAACTATAAAAAAAGGAGGCGTTTCAATAGCTGGTCTATGGCGGAGGGACTATAGACCACAAGAATAAAGAGCAGCTTCAGTGAAAGAAACCGATGGCTAAAAGCTATAATTGTATTTGCCTCGGCGAAATATCAGAAAAGACTTCTCGTTCCTTTGAGCGTTATTAGATTAATTCCCAGAGATGGTTTCTTTTCTCGCTGCCAGACGCGTGGAGGGAGGACGGTGAACCATTTGGCTCTTTGGTTTCAATAATCAAATTAACCATTTGGTACAACTTTTGGGTCCCAGCTCGTGTGTAGAAAGAGAAAATAAAAAAAGAAAACATTTACATAATAGGGACGGTTGTGTCAAGAAAGAATTAACTTTTTTCTGTTCTCATTGATCCCTGGGAAGACAATGTACACAAGGAAGAAAAGGGAGAAACACACTGCAACACGTCAGCAATTGTGGAGAAAAATAATTGATGGCAGAATGCAAGCAGGTTTTCTATTTATTTATTTTTATTTAGCGGGAGCTGCACCTTGTTGTGTTCGGTGCCACATTCAGCCTCATATTCTCCCCTGTTTCAGTTTAAATACCAAAGCAAGTCAATATTTTTACTAAAAGGCAACAATTAAAAAAATAAAATCGTATATTTTATGTCATGGGGCTATAAATGGTGCACAGTCTATATATAGCTATAGAATATATAGGTAATATATCTTATTTTATTTAGTGCCGCTATTTAGAATATGAAATCTTTATGTCTGCTAGCATTTTTCCAGTAAACGTCTACATTGTTTTTATATCAGCCTATAAAAAATATTGTATATAAAACTCAATATTATGACAAAATCAAATATCTCCGAGGTACTACAGTTACAAGAAACAAAGATCCATAAAAATCTTATGATGACGTTTTATAGGTTTTACATATTACAAAATTTTGTCTTAATGTCCAAGCTGATAGCCTCAATATAATAATAATAATAGAAAATACTAACATACTCTATTCATCATTTTATCCTCAGATTATTATAAGAATATTATTGTAACACTTCGATGTAGGGCCACTACTCATATCAATCACCCAAACATGAACAGAATAATAAATTCAATAATCAAACACTTATGTGCTAAATTTAATAAATGCACCGTAATTGCTTTTTCTTCTTTTTGTGTTTCGATCATTTGAAAGGGAAAACTCGCTGCTTCAACAGAGGACTTGAACTCGGTCCAGTGGAAAAAAAGAGGAAGAAGAAACGCATCGAGAGTGTAAGCGCCATACAAAATGGTTCACCTTATTACGCAAACCAAATTAACCACTCAGCCAATATTGTGAGCCTAAGAGGTCCGATGACTGCCTCGCCAGTTCGTTACTTTCATTAGAACGATGTTATTTGCCAAATAAACGGAATAATGAAAGTAATAAAGACAATTACAAACTCATTTGAATCATAAAAATACACCCGGAAGTTTCGGGGAGATTATACTGCAGCTGAGCAGGAAAAGATTTGGAAAAATGTTGGCAGAAAAGGCAAAATTTAGTATGAAATCGAAGCCGGAAAATACGTTTATTACCGCGCATAAATTCCAACACGTTGGGCTTTGAGCCCATGGAGACAATTTCTACCTTTCTTTCTACCTCCCCCTTAATAACAGCAACAAAGTCGTGAACCACAAATGATACTGTCCGGATTTAAAATCGAGCTGTGTCTAAGAGTTTCGTGTTAAATAAAACCCGAAGAAATCCAGACAGGCGATACTGCGTGCAGGTAGCACACATTCAGTTTAAAAATCATATACGTGAATGCATATCTCGTTTCTTTTTCTCTAAAGTTGATACAAACAGGTAATTAAAAAAATTAAACCAGGTGCTTTTGTAACAAATTGTTTAGCCCCAATAAAAATATAGATGGTTATAAGAGATAAAAGCCGACACGTTTGGCTTCACTGCAGAAGACCAGAGTCAGGATCAGTGAAAATAGTCGGAGCAGACGGGCAGAAAGAAGAGGTAGAGGGGGAATACTATGTGAAATCCTGCCCAAGGTATACGGTCGCTTAAAAGGCTTAAAAGCTTGGAGAAAATTGGATCAGGGAGAATCGTCACCCAACTTTCATTATTTCCAAGTGGTGTGATTGAATTAAAGGGCAAGATGGTGGTTGGAGAGGAGTGGGGTGGATGGGTAGAGGGGTGGGCGGCGGCGGCGGTGGTGGTGGAGGGGTGCGTAATGGCGAGGTATTAAATTCTAATTAGAGATGCAGGGGATCAATGATAGGGAGGTTGGACAGCCCGGGCCCCCAGTGCCAGCCCAATAGACTGATGAGTTATTGTCATGTAAAAAAGCGCTAGCAATAAGACCAAACGCTTTGCTATTGTCCAAGCGGAAAGAGCCAAGTTTATTATGAGGACTATATGCTCTAGAGACCTCGGGCTAGGCGGCTCTTAGGGGGCTTTTCATAAAACAGGGCTAGGTTCCTATAAAGGAGGCCAGTTTTGGAGCAGGCGCTGAGCAGTGAACATCTACCCACCGTCCAGCCTTTTTTTTTTCCAATCAGTTCAAACCAAACAAGTAATCTTTTCCCCCAAACTCAGACCGCGCGTCCTCCTCATTTTTGTTTTTATTATTTTTTTCTTTCAAACCCATTTTTTGGGTGCTTTTGTTTGCCATTTTTTCCAGGGAAGTGCAGCTTTCTAACTCTACCGAGCCTTCTCAAATGTATAAAATGGAGTATTCTTACCTAAATTCCTCTGCCTACGAGTCATGTATGGCCGGGATGGACACTTCGAGCTTGGCATCGGCCTATGCGGACTTCAGTTCGTGCAGTCAAGCCAGTGGGTTTCAGTACAATCCCATCAGGACCACTTTTGGGGCCACCTCCGGCTGTCCGTCTCTCACGCCGGGGTCCTGCAGTCTGGGGACCCTGCGGGACCACCAGAGCAGCCCGTACGCCGCAGGTAAGCAGCGGCTCCAGAGCCTCAACCCGGTGTATTATAGGACGCCTTGATTGCATTTGAAAATGGAAATGTGTTTAGTATTTACGAAACGAAATTTGCTTACACAAATGAAAGAATTTATCACGTTAGAAGCGATTGCAGGCAAGCGGTAATTCGGTTACGGGGTTATACTATCCCAGTCACACCCAAAACCGCCAACAGAATTATCTTAAGCTGCCAAAATGATAGGCATAATTTATTTACTTTGCGATGAGACATAAAGCTTCGAAAATAATTAGATAACCAAAGACTAAAGCTCATTATTGACACCGAATTGGAGTTACAGTAGCAACAAGCGGGGCGGATGGGAACATTATGACAAGTTTTCAAACTTGAGCCTCAATCTGAGGAGAACAATTAGTTTAACATTACAATTAACCCCATCACAGGTCTGCAACGTTATCAGTTCTGAACTAATTCAAAGGTAATCAAAGGCATAATACAATTGGAAGCTTTAGCCCAGCGTCCTTAACCGGATTTTAAACAAAATATTGAATTTACTTCCATTTGACAACATCACATTTACACACCCTCATATCTCCCCATTACTGCACCGATAAGACCACTGCACGTGTAACCATGACATTTCATTCACAGTTCCATACAAACTCTTCACGGATCACGGGGGACTGAACGAGAAGAGAAAGCAGAGGCGCATCCGGACCACTTTCACCAGCGCACAGCTGAAGGAGCTGGAGCGGGTTTTTGCTGAAACACACTACCCGGACATCTACACTAGAGAGGAGCTGGCACTCAAAATCGATCTGACTGAAGCCAGAGTGCAGGTACATAACTACCGACTCCTTTTACTCACAGTTACGCACTGGTGGATGCAAATGAGAACTATTTCAAAATACTGGGTCTAATCAATCATTATCACTAGAGTTTAAGCAAAAGTTGAACTGCTTTCACAATGTGAAGGGCTGAGTACTACTGCTGTGTACACATTGGCAAAATAGACAACGTCTTTCTTCTGAGGCTTTCAGATATTAAAACGTCTTTATATGACTAAATTATTTAGAGAACTCAACTTTTCTGTCGCCCTTTGCTTTGTCAGTCTTCTAGAAATTTAAGTCACGGTCGTTAAACGTTTCTACTTCCACCTTTTCACAACTAAACAGGTATGGTTCCAAAACCGACGTGCCAAATTCCGCAAGCAGGAGCGGGCTGCAGCAGCGGCTGCAGCTGCAGCCAAGTCCAGTTCTGGAAAAAAGTCCGATTCGAGAGATGAAGACAGCAAAGAGACCAAAACCACCGACCCTGACAGCACAGGAGGACCGGGCCCGAACCCCGTGCCCACCTCCAACTGCGGCGGGCCGAGCCCTACTGCAGGCCAAGTCAACACCACCGGGAACGGACAAGCGGACCAAGTGAAGACCTCCGTGTCCACCGGCATGGGAGTGACAGCACCAAGCCAAGGCTGGGCCACCGCACCGGGGACCATCACCTCTATCCCGGACTCATTGGGCGGGCCCTTCGCCAGCGTACTGTCGTCTTTGCAAAGACAGAACGGAGCCAAAGCTACGTTAGTAAAGACCAGCATGTTCTAATGAAGCTTCACATCGGGGAAAGAGAAGCAGAGCAGGGGAAGAGAGATACGTTTCCTCCTTCTCTGGAGACTGAAAAGCAATCGCCCAAGACTGACTTAAGGACAACAAAAAGCAGTTAGGAAAAAAAGATTACTACTGTTATCTTTTATTTTTACGCCTTGCGTCGTTTCTTGTGGCCAGTTGGCAGTTTGCGGCAAACATATCCATCTTGACAAGTCAGATCGTCTTATAATAATAATAATAATAATTAAAAAAAGTTATTTTCTACAAACAAGTGCAAGTTGTGTAAAATCTTTTCAAGCATGTCTCGGGACGAAATACACTGAGAATTAAGACAGAAAATGTCTTTTTCTACGTGCACCAATAAACAGCCATTATTCATGCATTAATTAAAAACACATTAAGCTTGAAATAAATACTTAAAATCGGATCAACTGACTTGTTAAGATGAATATATTTTGTTCAGATTTGGAGCATAAACAAACGTCGCCGCGCTGGAAAGGCGTAGTGCCATCAGTGAGCAAAGGAGCCTCGTTTAGTCACATTAAATGTCAGTGTTCATCAGATGCTTTGTTTCGTTCAGAGACGTTGAATTTCCACGACTGAGGATGCTTTCCACAAACATGGTATGAAACAACCAATATCCAACAAGACGCTGACGCATTTTGCTGTTTTGTTCTCTGCAGACACAACCTGCTGTGTGGAAGTGGCCTCTTACAGCTGTGTTTTGGTTTCTAAGGCTGCTGAGAGTTTAGTTTCTTTAAATTATCGATATAAACACAATTATTTCCTCAAGAAAAAAGGCACAAACTTACTGCAATGTTCACCTCTGACAGGAAATCTGTATGTTTTGTGTGTCTTTCTACGGCAATGTTTTTGTGGCTCAAAATTGTATAGTGTTAATACGTATTATTGTCTCCTATAGTTGAACCATAGGCCATACTCCCTCGTAGATCGATCATACAAGTCTTTTTGATGTTTTACAAAATTCCCTCGGAAGAATTTATTTTGGGTAAAAAAGGGGAATGGATGCAAACATTGTATTTATTTCTATATAATTTGCATGTTGTCTCTTTGTCTGATTTTACAATGATTTCCCTCCCATTTTGTGAGCATTATGTAACATGTTTTGTCCAGGATCTGAAAGTTATTTATATGTAGGTAATGAATGCTTATATTTAAGAAGGAAATATTTCTACATGTGCACATAGTTTTCCAGGTGTACCATTGAAATGATTGTTGATGATAAAAAAAAAAAATAATAGTCCATATTGTTTTGTCATGTTTTTCTTTGGGAAAGAAATCGTGGAAATGATCGGTTATTATTCTTTTTGTAGTATACGATTCTTGAACAATTTTGAAAAAACAAATTTTGTCACGGTGGTTTGAAAAGGGCGAAGATTTCAGCACCACGGACAGCACCGCGACGTTTCACAATTCGTTCTTTCCGATTGACTTTTGGGAAAAAGAAAAAGAATGGGAGAAGGTAATCCGGCCTTTAGTTTAATTTATGAAACTAGGATGTTTCTTTAAAAACAAACAAACAAACAGACAAACAAACAAACAGTCAGTCAATCTTTCTTCAAGAAACTAACTCTTATTAAAAGGCAATGTTTAAATTCGGGGGAAATATTGTATACGAACTTGAAATTAAACTACACTAAAATACACAAATGAATTATTTTTCAAGAAATGAAACTCAATCAGGTTTATTTTTAAAATGGTAAATAAGGAGTTAAACAAACTGGCTGACACTTTTTCTTTTATTAAAAAACATCCGTGGAATCCAGTTTTTTGACTCAAGGCACAATTTGGGAATAATCGCTACCAGATTTTAGGTGAGATCAAAAATACGGAAATCCGTTAGTTGAACACAGAATTCGTTTCATGTATAAGCCAGAGAGTCCGTCGAGGTAAAGGTTTTAATTTTATGAAGTCACATTTTAAAAAGGCACTCTAATAAAAAACTCAGGACCTTAATAGGCACCTCTTTGAATTTAAGGCCAAATAAATGTTCGGAGTCGTTATTCTCGGTTTATTCTGACCCAACTTGAGTATTATTTTAGTATCACCTGAAAACATCATTAGGCTACAGACGGGTTTTTTGTGTTTTATCATTAGAAATTTATGGTGCTGTCATAAAAACGCACATGGAAAAAACAAAAAGGTTTCTATTCTCACTGGGTTAGAATGAGCTATTATATTATTTGATAGTTTATCAATAGGAAGACACATTTTAAACAATTTCTATGCAAATCTTTAAATAACACTCGAAAATTGGTTACGGTCAGCTTTTTGTTCTTGGAGTCACATGACACATAAAAAGGACCAAAACAAATACGCTGTGATTACAGGTGAAATGACTGAGCATAATATTTGTCCGTTTACTCATGATTCCAGACCTGAAGAGTTTCGCTTTGTGACACTTTTAACAAACTGGCATCTTACTAAATGTACATTTTAAAGCATTTATTTACTTTTCTTCTGTAATTTTATTGCAAAATGACCAGACAGAAGCAGGGCGTTAATGTATAACATTTTATTTATAAACATACAGTATGCTATAAATGCAAATGCATTTAAACATCAAATTAATCTATATTTCGCATAGTGCTCAGGTGAATATTACAATAAATACAGAACAGACGTAAAAGGTTTCATTCCCCAACTATCCTGCGATAAGAAGACCGTCTGAATATAGAGCTCCGTCTCAAAGATCCCGCTATAAGAGACTGGGCTTGACAATTATTCGTTAACTAAATTGAGAAAAAAAAAATACACAATCATAACAGAAGTTTAAAAATACTGTAGATCAAGAGATGACCCCAGAGGGGAAGCTTGGCTATAGGACACAGTTCAGGAGGAGAAAAAGGAGGCTGTTTGCTAGTTTGCTTTCATACAGCAAATCATTTGGTTTTAGGCTTAAACGTGCACTTTTTTTCATTACATCCACAACACATAACAGGAAGAGCTCTTCTCATACACCTTAAAAAAGAAGCAAGTGACTGAAAATGTGCAGCCAGCGCCACAAATCTTTAGTTTTCATCCAACCAAATATTGCACAGGTGCAGCTGCTGCTGGTATATGTTTATAGTATTTTTGCTCTTTACCTAGTAATAACGTGTATTAGTGATTTTTTTTTTAATTTTCAAGGTATAAATGAATTCTATCATTGAGCCATTATCAAAATTACCTCAATTAAAAGCATAGAGAAGTCTATATCACTCTAGAATAAAACATCCAAATTAAATGAAATTTTCCCCTGCAGTATACATAATCTGTCTTTTACCAAGTAGACATCACACGCTTTATCTCATTTTATTCCAGTCTTTGCATTTTTTATAGCACTGCAAACCACAGAGGAAGGGAGGCGGGGGAATTAGGAAATCAAATTTGAGTGAAAATAAACAGTACTTATCAACTAAAATAAAGCGTGATGTGAGGGAGAGCTGCAGCCTTCTTGTCTGCAGTTTAAAATTTGGCCAGATCCCTCCAACAAAATAAAATAAAACAACATAAAATAAAGGAGAAATAAAACACCATCATACAGCTGGTGTTTTTTCCTGCATCACCTTGCTTTCCTAAGGCACATTGAAGTCTTGACTTTCCAAGCTGATAGATTGGAAGAGGAACAACCTGCTGTGACCCAAAAGCACAAAACCAGCTTTTAAGTCCTGTTATTGCCCTAATGATGAACCTACATCCATACTATGTCTTTATACTCGAAGCTAATTTTATTCTGTAAAGAAAAAGAGACACTGGAGGTCACTGCAATGGCCAAAGGATAAAAATAGTGGCTTGCTCTATATTGTATTTGAGTCTAAATAGTCACCTTTATTGCACTTTCTATATCTGTTTGCTGTAATTTATCACTTAACTGAAGGAGGATACATTTATTAATGTGTTTTGGATTAAACCTGTTTAGGCTCTCTGTCTGCCTAGCTGCCTTACCGCATAATCTATATTCTTTCCAGTTTTTGGATGCTTATCCCTCCAAATTAAGAAAATCTCTCTTAAACGATAAAAAGTGATATAATATACTGGCAATAATTCACATTTTTGAACACCTTGTTTGTTTTTGTGTGTTCATTCAGACAGTACAGGGCATCAACATAGTCTACCTGTGTTTGAAGCATCTGCAGATGTGTTTTCTTTTCAACATGGCTGCCGCCTCAGAGCAGTCTTTTTCTCGCTGCTGCGTGATGAAACACAGTCTGTGGTGGCATGAGGACCAATCAAATCCAGATTTCACTCATGCATCAGATGACACACATATGAAGATTTTTTTTTCCCCCACATTTGGGCCACATAATGAATCTTGAATGGTTATCGAACTGCAGAAGATGCAAAGATTCTGACACGCTGCGAAGGACGTGATTTGCAGATAATCAGGTTAAAACAGGGATGGGGGGGTTCTTCCTTTGAACCTTGTGCTTGTCAGTCGAGCGTCACAATGTGGTTGGCTGTCCGGCAGCTTGACAGGAAAGGAAAAGAGGGGAAAGAGAATCAAATTGGCAATTTTTATAAACCACAATTGTTTTTCTGGGACTTCATGTTCAAGGACATGGAGCTTTAATGAAAGAAGACCTTCTTAATTTGAGATAAAGACTCAGGAGTTTTCTGATAGAGGCCCTGATTTGATTTTGCGGTTTACTGATCCCCGAATGATAACGGCTGTTGAGAGGTTACTGAAACACGAGCTGTGTTGTTTGAAAAAGTTTTGCTGTTGTGCAGTAAAGGTGAAAGGGACAGAAAGTTACTGTCTTCCTCTTCTGAGTGCAACACCCCCATTTCCTCCTTCTGCCCGTTTCAGCTTCACTGCATCTGGTGCACCTGTATTAAGCTGCGCTGGCGAGGATTTTCATATTAAAATACACTTGTCCTATCAGCCTCACAGTTACGCTGCAATAAAGAGTCTAAGTTTTGAAACACACTGAAAAGTTTTAGCATAAAATAGTGTCAAGTTTACTTTGAAAACAATAAATCAAAATAAATTTGGTTTGTTTTTCTACCTGGTTCATGAGAGCCGTATTTACTGCTGCTGCTCACATTATTAAAATCTGCATTTATTTATCATTGAAAATAAGACATATGGCCAACATTAGCAAACAATAAGGGAGAAGAATACCTTTCCTTTTTTTTTTCAAATTTTATACAAAGATTAAACTTTTTGTTTTGTGAGGATGATGCAAAAAGATAGTTATTTATTTCTGGTTATTTTTAGTTATTTATGGTGGTGTTTTGTTTTTTTTTAATTCCGTACACCCTGACCACAGATATAAACATTCCTAGGGAACGTTCCATTCTCCCTGGGAGACATAGATATAATGTAGGGGGAGACAGAGGAGGAAGACATAGGAGAGGGTTCAGGAGGACTCACAGCGGGAGCGGATGTAGCACTGGTGGCAGTTGAGGAGGCCGTTTTTTATTCGAACATCCGTCCCTGTGGTTGTATCGCCTAACTGTCCTTTACACACGCCACACTGAAGAGAGAGACAGAGGGAAATTGCAAATGTTGTTACCAACTGTTGTATCCTAAAGGAGAAGCCTGGTGTTCCCCTAAGTGTTTCTAAGTGTCAACAAATCCAATGAAAGACTTCATTAAATCTTTTTGGCTTTCAAACCTTCACTTTCTGTGGTACTGAGACTCAAACCAATTATTTCTACTAAAAGGTGGACATTTTTAAAGACAGATCACATACAGATGGGTGACTGATTATTATTAAATCCTTTATTTATACAGGCTGTCCTTTTCCAAGTTCAGGAAGAATACGGAACACAGCTAATTTTAAAATGTCCTGTGACCTGTTATTGTAAGTGCTGTACATAAATTTAATCAAAGAGCAGAGGTAACCAGGCAGTCTTTGAAGCAAAGCCTTGTAGAGCCTCATCGATTCAACTGATACTCTTACACGTGTTTGATGATTTAAAAATTGTTTGCACTTGACTTGACCTGAAATATTTGTAGACTATTGTCTGAAGTAAAAAATGAAGAAAAACAACAATAATTTAACCACTCTTATCTTTTAACACTGCTACTCATTTTATCTAATCTAATCTGGATAATACACAAAACAGAGAATGACAAAGATGAGCACTCTCTCTTTCATCAACCTTAAAGCAGTGGATGTGGAAATAGAGGCTGAGGGTCTCTATGATCATGGCAGCCCCTTTCCCTAATGGCTGACCACAGCTGGAACACAGCTTCTTCCCACTGACAGACCTATAGGAGAGAGAGAGAGAGAGAAGTAGGAAGACACATAGAAGGAAAATCACCAATATTAAGATAGAATCTGGTTTTCCACTCTTATGTTTTGTGGTGCTCTTTTTGACCCCTGCTAACTTGTGAGTCTGTATATTTAAAATATTGAAAATTCATTGACTAGTATGCTGACTTAGCTCCTGGGGAAAAGCTAATATTTCAGGGGTTTTTGGTGTAGCCAAGAGATCCAGACTCTCTGTTCCTTCTATCAGACTCTCTGTTCCTTCTTTGAATGGAAACACATTTGAAAAAACAACATTATCATCAGACAGTAGATGTGTTTTCAGCAAATGCATCCCCTCTTTTGATCTCTACAAGGACTGCTCACCTGTGTGTAACTTAAGCCTGCTCAAACACGATTTGCCAATAAAACTGCAAACAGAAACCAGAAAGCCAGAAGTCTTATTCATTCCCTATAGATTCTGCAGGCAGTTATCTGTGGCAGAGATTCATGTACGTGCTGTCTTGTGCTTTCACTGATGTTCAGCAGAGGCTGTTTGCTGACATCATGGTGTACATGTATGTTTTTGGTCTCCTCTGCGTGCTGTTAACTGCATTTTAAAAACATGTTAACTGAAAGAAAACATAATTTCGTAAAGCTGGATAATGGATCATTTGGAGCAGTTTATGTAAATATGCTCATTGTACGACGATGAAACATAAAAAACAAAACTACATAAAATGAATGAATACACTGCTACTTCTCGACTCCACCATTCTTTGGTTCTATTCAAATACCATACAGGTTAGAGGGTAAATGCTGCTGGTACATGTTATGAGCTGGGTGGAGAAATGCAAGCAGCAAAGCAGAAAATGACAATGCAGAAGTGAATCACAAGCTCCCTTTCCTCCATGTGGGCCATTTGTGATGCAATACCTGTTGGGTGCTGGAGGCAGTGCGTCAGAGGGTGGTGGGCATGCTGCAGGGGTTTTTGATGAGCTGCGGCCCATGTTATTATCAATAGGGCCACTCCTGGAAATGGACAGCAACATGCAACATGGCGATGACTCGCAGTTACAGCGACACTATTGGCTGTCAGAGTCAGACACGAGCCAATCCAAGACAGAACAACAGTCAAATCTGCTCAGTGATGTTTGGATAGATCCAGCATTACTTCATCCATTAAAATGCATTGTTATGTGTTACTATAGTATATGATTCTGCTGATAAGGTTTATAACACTTCGGTCATGGCAAACAATAATGCTGCTTCAAGTGCTGGAAGACTATGAAGCAAAATGCAGGTATAAGATGCCACCTGGTGGCCAAACAGCATAACAGGAGCTTTTACTCCAACACAATAGAAACCTGCTGGTTTCTGGTGTGATTATTTAAAATATGCATTTATAACACAGATAATATATATATATATATTTTTTTTTAAAAAGCAGAATTTTTCTTTAAACTAAAGACAATGGACATGAGAGGATAAAATAATGTTAAAGAATCACACTGCAACATGAACACATGGCATATTATGTGTCAGGACAAGAAACTGCATTAATGTGCATGCTTTTAACCCACCTCTATTTAGAAGAGGAAAACAAATGGAAGCTATTAGAGAATAATATTCAGGAACTGTGGCAGAAGCTACACTGAAGCCTTGTTCTCTCTCACACACCTTCGTCCTCCTGGAGGTTTGCTGCCGTCTGCTGGGAGTTCTTGTTGTTTCTTGACTGGAGTTGAAGACTTGGCCAGCACCGGAGGAAGCTTTTGGCCATTCTGTAGGCTGTGACCAAATTTCTCCACCTGACTGCTGCTCTGACTCATTGAGCTGATGACAGCAGAGAGAGAAATGTGCTGAAATGATCGGTCAACTGTCAAAAATACACAGAATTCAGACAAAGACACAAAACAAAATACCGTCATGGCCATAGCCTGCAGGATTTGTTTCATCACACAGAAACAGGCGGATCAGTCTCACTGATCTCATTTTATCATTTAATAGTTCATCATTTTAACCTGAGAGCAGTTCTCTTCTAAGCTGATTTACCTTTACCTAAAGTATCAAAATCAAAAGTGGCTCTCAATTTAAAACTGAACCTTTTAACTCATTTGCAAAAAAACAAAACAAAGAAAGCCCTCCTATTTATGACCAAATATAGAGCAGTATTCTAACATTTAAGCCTCATTAAGTGCTACTGTGGATTAAGAACTTATTATTTGAAAAAACATTGGAACATTTACTTAATGGAGACACCTTAACTAACCTTCTGGCTGTTTTCATGCTGTCATCAGCGGTGCTGATGTCACTAGTCCGGTCATTTTCTCTCCGTTTCAGATCCACGCTCTCTGTGCTCTCCCTCTGTGGCAGCAGGTAAGAAACAGCAAACTGTTAGCTGACCAGCCTCGATGTCCTCTTAAGTGACTTTCAAAAATAACTTGAGCCAGTTAAAAAGTAATGAATTTAGCAATAACTTATATTTATCATACTTATCATATATGCTATTAAAATCCAATGAAGTGCTCTATATGTGGTTGTGGCTTGTTTACAGCCACATATTGTCAAGACCAAATTAAATAATGTAATTTTGTGCATGCATCAAGGAGCATCATAAACATATTCATATATACACTATATTGTAAATTGCACCTTTTTTTTTTTTTTAACTTGAACTCAGCTAAACGAGGTAGCAAACGAAAATACTTTATTAACAAAACAAAACAAAAAACATGTCACATGCAGGTGTTCTGGCCACTGTTCATATGAGGGTGAATTTATACAGTGTGACGGTACACAGCTCATATTATGATCAATGCGCTATTCACCGATTGCCTCTCCAGCAGTTCCTGTTTACGTTCCCAGTCAGCAAGAGAACGAACGATAGTGTCCTGAGGATCAGTTGGGAGAGAGGAGAGTTCACCTCGACTGGGGGAGGGCAGGGCGGAAGAGCGGGGCGTCAGAGGCGTCACAGTTTCCTCCAGTATCCGACGCTCCTGTTTTAATATGAACATAGATGAATTTTAAACCATAATTTCGTGGTTAGCTGGTTAGCGAACTTCAGATTCACACACACATATTACATGTAATTCAGTTGATATTGTTAAGCAGAAAAACCCATCACAGGTGCTGTCAAGCAAAAAACACACCCACACACCTCCTCGTGGTACTTCCTCTCCTCCTCTGCCACCTCCTTCTGTGCTTTCTCCCACTCCTCCTTCAGTTTCTCCTGCTCACGCTGGTACTTCTCCTGTTACCATGGCAACACAACACATGACATGCAGCACAGCAGAGAGGAAGACTAAACTGTCTGCAGTTGGAAAACAAAGGCAATGCGCAGACATATCCGACATCAACAGAGTACTGAGAGACTTTTCAAAAGGCCAACCAAATGCTAAAAATTCTCTGCTTGTGATAATGTTTTAACTTGGTCCAAGAAGACAGAGAGCTGCAATAACAGGCACACGCTACAACATTTCCATGCAGAATACCCTCATTATGCACTTTAACTATGTGAAACTTGATGTACAGACATATGTGAAGGCAAATTTAGCTTCCTATCCACTGCTATGCCTAAAAACAGATTTTATATCTGCTTGTTAGGAACAAAAAGCAAACAAAGGAGACCAAAAGCAGGCAGTGCAGACAAAAGCAGAAAGCGTATCATGCAGAAGCTCTCAAACAGTGGGTTCCTACACAATTTTCAAAACTCCATTTAAATGTTCTTTGGTTTGGAGTATGGTTTATGGTTTATAACTGCCTATATCCAATAAAAGCAGAAAAAACACAAACATATTTTCTCAGATTACCTTTTTAACCTTTTAGACTTGTGTAAGAACCCCAAAAAGAAGGCGCCATTTACAGACAACACATAGACAACACAGACGCAGGGAGGCTAAAAGGAAGTAATGAGTACACTGATGCACCAGACATTCATCCATTTCAGCGCATCTCATCTCAAACCATCCTGCAACAACTGGAAAGAAGGGAAATCGGCTTTCATCACTGCTTCGTCTTTTTTCAAGATAACACTGTAGATGAGCTTGATAAATAATGGACACTGCAACTCCATTAAATGTTGACAAGTGTGTGGACTTGAGATGCACCTGTTATAAATCGAGGAGAGAGAGGGTGACTTGGGCAGCAGCAACAGCAGCAGCTTTGGACAGAGTCCTTGCCTCTGTCTGTGGCTTGAGATGGAGACAGTGAGGGAATAAAACCAAAACAGAGGTTCTTCCACTGCACAAAATCGCCACCTAATGGTTAAAGTGTGCACAGACGCAGCTTGGGGGGGATGGGGGTGAGTTTGCCTTTACAGGAGGATGTGTTCAATACAAAACAAATATGGAGGCAAGCTTTGAGAGCAGCAATGAAATGTGGTTAATACATCTGACTGTAAGCGGAGCAAGTCAGTGACTGTGCAGCTGTGCAGCAGTGTGGTCTGGATTCATGTTAGAAATAATCTTTAACAGCAAAATTCAGTAACAACACCTGCTTTCCACACCGGCTGCAATTTATTATTATTTTTGTTAAATCACCTCATTTGTAGAAAGGAGTCTGAGGTCTCACAATTAAATGTCATTAAAACCTCAGGGGCCGAGACTGACCACAACCTGTCATGTCTTTCCACAAAACTGGTTTGTGCTGCTAAAACACAATATATCATTATAGCACACTGTAGGTATGTTGTTCTCTATAAGAAAGCTAACCCCTAACTTTGCAGCCTCATGCACCATGCTTGACTCTTTTAGGTATACTGTGTACCTGCAGCATGCGCTCCTGCTCTTGCTGCCACCTTTCCTGACGCTTTCGCTCCTCATCCGGGTCCCAAGACCAGCGGTCTCCCCGCTTGGCCTGGGGTAACACCGGAACTGACACCTGATAGACCCCAACACACACACACCCACACACACACATATCACCATATACAAATATCCATGCACACATTCACATCCAACCACAACCCATTCACGCACAGATCAACACCAAAGTGCACACACATCCACCACAAAAAAAAGTAGAAGAAGAGAAGGGAGGAGACAGAAATAGTTGGTCTACCACAACAGCACTACTCCAATGCTAGCCAAAGGACTCCTACTAAGGAGAGAAGAGACAGAGAAAGAGAGAGATGAGCTTAAATGAAAATAAAATAAAAGCAGTCTCAGCCATCGACTACAGCATCATCATCTGGCATGCTACATAAACAGCTTTGTGTGTCCTATAATAATTAGCTGAGGCGCCTAAAATATGACAGTATGTGAGCACTGAATAATAAAACTGAAAGATTCACATGCAGTCATATTAATGGTTTTCTTGCTTTGCGTTTCTGTTAAAGTCTAAAACACCTTTTTCACTCTTACCTGTTGTATTTTGTGTATTCCCTCCCTTCCGTAATTGTACTTTTACAACATTAAGCTAAACTACTGGTGTACCCATGGTACTGCAGGAGGGGATAAGCAGTAAAAAAGGGTTTTTGTGAATTTACTCACATTTCCACGGTGATCCTTTTCCGCCTCTTCTACAGAGAAAGGAAACAGCGGTTAAAGCAAATGAGATATTTGGACACAGGGGATCAAACTAAGTCACTCGGATATTGAGGAAAAAGACAACACGCCAAGTGCTGATTTCCTGAGGAGTAAAATGGGGATGAAAGAAAACAAAGACAGAGCTGAGTCCACCAAGAGCAACAATCATAGTCAGTAAATTAATAATTTGTCAAAGGTTCAAAGGTTTTATTTTGTCTTTCTAGTTAGAAAAATGTTGATATAAATTGAAACTTTGCCTCTTACTAGGTCAGGTTTTGTAGGTTTAACCAGTGTGTGGAAAACAGCTGAACATTATCTTTTTTGACCTCGTCTGGCCAGGACTCTCTTTCAAGGATGAGGATGTACACATCCTGGACAGGGAGGAACGCTGGTTTGAGCGCGGAGTCAAGGAGACCATTTACGTGAAAAGGGAACGACCTCTGAATCGAGGAGGGGGCCTAAGGGTACATCTTTCAGCATCTTACAATGCTGTGATTGCAGCCATTCCCCAACTCTTTGTGAATGGAACTCATGGCCATTGATCGGCGGTCTTTGATCAATGGTCATGAGAATTTGCATAATTATGATGAAGGAACTGACCTCCCAGCCCTTTGTTCCTTCAGTGGGCTGGTTTCAGTCATTATGCAAATATACTGTTTATAAGATTTGGGGAAACCTGCAGTCAGCTGAGACTGAAGACGTCACTTGGATGAGTGACGAAACGTTTCTCCCACAAAACGCTACGCCCAGATGAACAGAATCAACTTTTGGAGATTCTTTTTTTGAAATTCACACTTGCATGCAGAAAGACTGCTACGCAAAAGGAGTCCACAACAACTTATAAATAACAGTCAAATGTTCAAATGATCCAAACAACAGATAAACCTTACACAATTAAATAAATTTCTGTTAGTTAAGGCTGTAACTACAGTTCTGTGAGAATATATTTCTCCCCTACCCAACATCTGGCTTTCCCACTGCAGTGGGTACTGATTAATGCTGATCACAACTTTAATAGAGCTCTAATACACACCAGATGTTAGAGCTTTTGGTGGAAAAGCCCCCATAATGTGAAGCACACTGAGGCAAGCATGAAACTAAAAGTTAAGCAGGTCAAAAATGTGTACCGGGTATAATCTTCTTTTAATACATTGTCAAAGGGCACTTCTTCTCATTAAGAGCTTCTGTAAACATGATGAGAACATCTTTTACAACAACAAGACACTGATGAGCCAGTAATACTAAGAATGAGAAACTTCAAAACACATTTAAAACACAGAAAACGTCACTGTTCGTTCACAAAAACATTGGAAATGAAGGAATAAACAAGAGATGGGTCTGGGGTCTAGCCCTTGGAGAAACGGCAGGGAAGCCCTGTGCACCAGCACTCAAGGGCGGAAATGTGATCGCCACGAGTGGAGGGAGTTTACCTTGCAGAGCGAAGAACTCCCAGCGTAATTTAGGGCTGCTGGTTGCCAACGAAGACCTGACACTGTTTGCAAGCTCTATAGCGAAATAAAATAAAAATGTGCAGGTGGAAGGAAAAGAGGGAATTAGGGGAGAAAGGGAAAGAAAGGAGGAAAGAATAAGGGATAGATGTCAAAACCAGGAGGTGGAGAGGGTGCAGATTGCAGCATTCCTCCTGTGATACTGTAAGTGGAAACTGGAAAACTGGTATAAAAAAAACTAAAATTAAAATAAATAAAATAAAATAAAAACCCTTAAAGAGCAACACTTTTTCCCCACATAAAAATTAATTCCAGTTTGGTTATACAAATTATGAATAAAAACAAATAAGAAAAAAAAACAATAAAGCAAGGCAGATTTTTTGATTGATGGACATGCAATCCAACAAAACATCTCCCTTATGAAATAAAATGGGATATACTACAGCGATATGATAACAAGTCTCATCATGATCGCAAACCTTTGAATGCCCTTTAATCATAGCAGCAAAGCAAAGTGACATATTGGAAGGCAAAAAGAAAAACAGGCACTAACAGGGATTTGCTGATCAAGCATCTAAAACAATAAGTATGGTAAATAAGCCAGATGTCTGGGTGTTAAACATGTACATACCTGCTTTTGTTTCCCATTGCTGGTGATAAGCAGATGATCCTGGTGGAGCTGAGCTTGATGACATCTCTGACCTCGGTAAGAGCTCCTGGGAGCAGGGATCATTGGCCTGCAGGTAGATTTAAGATTATAGAATAGAACGCCTTTTATTGTCAGTATACACATGTACAATGAGATACAGAGCATCTCCTACACAGTGCAGATATGTAGGAAAAGAAAGGGGGGTGAGGTGCACAGGTCTGCAGCACTATATACATACAAACAGTATTCAAAATTTTATATGTACAAATATACAAATCGGGAAAAATAAATAAATAAATATTGTTATAAATTTAAGGATTGCACCGTGGTGATGGTAGTTGTGTAGTCTGTGTATAGAGGGAAGTCCTTGGATTGGGGGGTGGAACTGTTATGAGTGCATGTTATCCACTAGATATCTACTAGACAGATGGCTCATAATTTGAGTTTTGATATCACCTACTGGCTGATATGACTGTATATCAACCCCAGACTGGACAAGATTAGAGAGGTCTTCACTAGATGGTTTGGACATTTCTTGTTCTTGTTTGGCTTCTGAAAAAAAGACATCCAAGAAGTTTAAAATCTACTAATATAGTTGCACAGTGTTGCATGAACTTCAGTAACACGTGTTTGTTCTAAAAGTAACCACAAGGTGTCAGCATACTACTACCTGCAGGTGGGTTTTGATGAGCTACAGCATTTGGCTTTTCTTCCTCTGAAGCAGCTGCTGTCTGGTTTCCAGTCTTTCCAAAGCTTTCCTGTGGCTTCTGCAGCTCCTGTAGGGGTCACATATGGATTTCTTTCTGAATGCTAAACTAAATTCTGCAGATCAAAGGGCCTATGTTGTGTAAGAAGTACAAACGAAACATGATATTTCAGACTTGAAGAGTTCAATCTCAACTAAATTTGGGCAAAATCATTGCAAGATGCATGATATAATGCATGGCAAGGAACAGATTACAGGGCAAGTATTCAATATACGGCATTATTGAGAGAGGCAAAATACTCTGCACCCAGAAAACTGGGCTTGGAGTAAAATACCCACTAACCATGCTTCTTTAAAAGACAAAAAAATGTAAATAACTATAAAACATCGGAATTCTCACTGATGGGAGTGAGGTGGGCCGGCTGGGTGGTGTTGACTCAGTGACTTTCTCCTCCTGGACCTCCTGAGTGTCCTCAGAAGCTATCTCTGTAACATCTTGTGTCTCCTTTGCCTTTGTTGACACTGGACTTCCTTCCCTAGAAGAGGTGTGGGTACTGTGAGGGAGTGAGGTTTCTGACAAGGGAACATCTACAGCACCATCTACAGTGCTGTTTTTGCTTTGGGAAGGGGATGCCTGAAAATGGGGAGGCGAGTCCCTCCCTTGACTCTCAGGTGTGGTGGGAACATCGTCACTTCCAACGTCACCATTTACTCGCAGCAAACCATCCACCTAGGTAAAAAGAGAAAAAGTTTAATGTTTAATTTTCTGTGTGTAGTGTTTATACCCTTCGCTTTTCAATAAATGGCTTCAACATGCATTAATGTTAAGAAAGCAAGCTGAACGATATGGCTATACCATTCAATTTTATTTATTTTGCTCTAAATCATAACATATGCAATTTCAAGGTAAGATTACAGTATTGAACCACTCATTTCTAGATAAGAAGGCGCTTATTGTCCAATTTATTCTTCATTCATTACATGGATAAATATAGAAATCCTGAACAACACTGACTGCGAATAAAAATGTAAAATAAACCACGCCAAAAAACCCAGTGGCCTCATTTGTGGTCATTATGAACCTCTCTTCTCAGTTAGTAATTAGCTATTCATCCAGCTCACAAGACCACACTGCCCTCTATGAACAAGAGGCACTAATATATGTGCGAAGAGCTCCTAGTGAGCGGTAACTCAAGACACGGTGGTAAAGATGGGTGAATGCAGGCTCAGTCTCCCCCTCTCTGCCTCCACCTTCTCATCCCTCTCCTTGCAGCCTGTGTGGGCTCTCTTTGTCCGTCGGGAGCCCACTTCACATTGAGAGGGTCCTACTTGTCAACTTCTTAAGTCAATAGGGAACAGAGGGCTCCATTGAAACCCAGGCTTTGCTCAGACTCCTGACAAGGAATTCCAGAAGAGTGCTTTGTTCCATTTGGTCTGATAATAATCTTACCCTCCTTCTTTTCCACACCAAAACATAAGATCTCATCATGAAAATTCCCATTTTGTAATTTTTTTCTAGAAGAAAAGGAAATGGATCCCGTTGAGAGTACTTCGAGCTAAATTGAAACATTACATGCTTCTTCAGGGAGGGGATGTCTTACATTTTCCTACAAACCAGCCGGCTCATCACCATGGCAGTTCTGTGGTATTCTAATGTAAATGCCAAGAGACCCAGAGAGGAATTTACCCACAAGGAGGGAAACCGACACTTGCAAGTAACCACATTTGAAATGGTCAAGGCCTTAATCACCTTTAGACTAACAAGATCTTATCTTCTTTTTTGTATATAGGAATAAAGCTTTAGAATCACTGTGTACACAACCTGAACAAGAAGCACCATACTGTATATCCACAGCAGCCCTGAAGCTTCCTGTGACAATACCTGCAGGCAGTGCAAATGTTGAAAGCAGCTGGATTGTCAGCTGCTTAGTGCATAGTCATAGTCCAATATGTTCATGTACATGTTCGATGAACAGACACTAAGAAAGTGGGAGTCATATGCACTTCCTTCTATACCCAGGCAGCATCCTAGCCTAAACCAAACTGGGTATATCTAATAGTGAGAACAGATCACACATGAATGGGATTATTTCCTGCTGTGTCCCACGTGTGAGAGAGGGTAACATCTGCCAATGTTTTGGACTGAACCTCCTGACATTGTTCATGTGCAAAAACAGCTAAAAACAGGACTCAGTATTTGGAGTAGACAACTATGAACATTTTAATTGTTGTCACCTTAATCCTTAATCTTAAATGTTTCCACGTGTGAATTGTGGTGCAATGAAAAAAAATATACTGACATCTGTGTTCTCACATTCAGATATATCTAGGTAAGTCAATATCTGACCTCCTTCGCCTGAGTCAATCATACCTTGTTGTTCCAAGTTTCACCTCCTGCAGGTCGGGCCTGGAAATAAGGCTTGGGCATCAGCAAAGGCACCGGTTTGGGTGACAGGGCTCGGGTTGATGGCGGTTCAGAGGAGCGAGAGCGTATCTGAGACCGCTGGTGTGAGGACGGTTCTTTGGGAAACTCCTCGATTCGCGCCTCAAATGTAGAAGTAAACTTTGGAGTCGGGGCAGACTGCTGGCGCAGATACCTCATGGGCCCATTGAAGTCAGAATCGAAAGGGTCTGGTGTCGTGGGAGAGGCTGACAGGGAGAGGGAGAGCGGGAAAGGTGAGGTGGGGAAGGAGGGGTCAGCGGATATGCTGCGGTCCAACAACTTTGGCAGCTGCAGGCGTTCGAGGACTGTTTCGCTTATGGAGAAACGCTGGGCGTAACGTTGGAGAATGGCAGTCGCCTCCTCAGGAGTTTTGGCTTTCTTGTATGCCTGCCGTAGATCCTCCTCACGACGCTCCCTTAGAAAGAAGAGAAAGCATAGCAGAGGTAAAGCAGTTGATATAACAATTATTTGAACCTACTCTTGCTTTAGCCAAGCTTTGTCTAAAAAGACAGATACAGAAATCAGTTGTAATTGCTACCAAAGGCTGACTGGTTGCTGTCAAACTCGAGAGACCTTTTTTTTTTTCTTCACTGCAAAAGATCAGTTTCTTCTAGTCATTTCACAATCACTCACACAATCTGCTCTTCCTTTTAATTTCTGAAGGAGACCTATTTAAAGTGAACTCCAGGAGGAGCTGCATTCACCTTTGTGCCTGCTGACAGCAATGACAGGGGACATATAATTCTCTTCTCTGAGAATGACCCAGTTTTTCTTTACTTCTGATATCATACTGTGCAAAGAGCTATTGGCGTTCCTGTGGTATACTCATTAAAGCGGTTCTCAGTAGGTTGTCGTGGATGTAACTTACTTGTCCTCTACTATCTCCCTATAGGTCTTGATGCTTCTTCTCCTCTGAGAGGTATAGGTGTCTCCTGACATCAGGCGCTCCATCATCTTCCTTTCCTCCTCCTTTTTGATCAGATCCTGGGAAATACTCCTCCTCCGACTTTTCCATCGGGCCAGGTCCTGACACCCATACAGACAGATTCAAAGTATGTCCTGGTTCAGCAGCACTTTGAGCTCCCTGTTATTTTACTGGGGCACAGCTAAAATGACTTTAGAAGACGCTTGTATAACAGGCCACAGGCAGTAAAACCATAGCAGTTAAAAAGGAATAATGAAAGTAATGCAACGATGTAACAAACTGCATACAAATAAATATCAGTCCCATGAAACAAAGACCGAAAGATACAGAGTGAGCGACCTAATGTCTGAGAAACTCACATCCTGCCAGTGGTCCTCCTCTTCCTTCATTTTGTTGTACTGGTTATGCATCCGCTCATGACGCACCTGACTGTGCGGCTGTAACGTGGCTTCTTCCTCACCACGCATGTCGATCATACTCACACTCCTGCAGGCAAGGGGAAAAAACAAGCAGTAAATATTTAAATCAAACTGGGCTTATTAGCTATACTACTAGTGATTCTATAGTACATGATGTACTACTACTGTAATGGTGTTTTCATTTTGTCACCGGAACACAATATAAAAATAACTGCTTTAACATATTCTATACTTTCAATGCAACTTTGAAGAAGTAACATGTTTAATGTTGAATAAAAGCTACTTTTGACTGCTCACTTAATCATAAGATGTCACCATAGCAAGTAGGCCTACATGTTTGATCTGGCAGATTTCTTTTTACACCAGATGCCCTTCCTGAAGCAACCCAAAAGGGATTTCTCCCTCTTCCCGGAAAACTGGGATTTTTCTTTGCTTATAAGGCGAGTGTGTAATCCACTATACTACTGGAGCCACTGAAATGGTTAATGTCAAATAAACACAGAAAATTAGCTTTACCATGTATACCATGGAACAGTCCAAACAGAATGTATCAAACAAACCACATCGTTCAAAAACGACGTCAATTTATCATAATGAGGAAAGGTAAATAAACTGGTGCCAGTGTCTCAGAGAGATACCAAAAATAAAATCATTGTTCCATGGAAACATGTTTTTAAAGGAAACTTCATGCTTGCTTAGTAAGCAGAACTAAGATTTTATCCAGCCCATTGTTCCCTCGGAAGATCAAACAAAGATTTCTGCGTCTTTGCTCTTTTGATGGATTCGATATGTTTCAAAACACATTTAAATACATTTAATATCAGTTTCAATCCGAGTTCATCAGATGCAACAATCAGTATGATCTTCATACAATCATTGAATCATTAAAGGCGGTTTACATTTCTCTTTACATTTGTTCTGCAATGGCGAAACAGTTTTACATTACAGATGAGACAGAAAGTACAGCTTTATTGTTAGAGGCATGCAGCAACAATGCATGTTGATCACAGAATTAGAAAGCCTAAGAGCAATGACAACTGTCTTAACTATGTGAATATAGCACCTGTCTATTTTTAGTACTTTTATGTGCTGGCAACAGGTAATTTTCAAAGGTATCGCTTGGCTTACAGTCATAAGTTACAAAAGAGTGGCACTTAGATGGTACTCACTCACAAATGCTTTTTGGTTCTCACTGAGCAGTGTGTGCATTAAAGAACATTGCAGCAGTACAGTATTTTCACACCAAGGGCAACTGCACTTAAGCAATCCCCTGTCATCATGCTGCACTTTTAGCTGTTGTGTATGGGATTAAAAGGGACTGGTTGTTGGCAGGCTGGTAGAAATGGCTGCTTTACATGACACATGCAGCTGGCTCGCAGAAGCACTGAGGATGAGTTTAGCAAGTCCTCTCCACATCCTTGGCAGCAGGCACGTTGAATAAATTTGAGAGAAATGGATTGTTGCCAGGCAAAGGCAAAAAAGCACTAAGTTTATTGAAGCCATATTTTCCATGATAAGCCTAAGAGCCAGGGACACAGTTTGACACTGTTGAAGCACACAGCCAAAAATGTCCACCACAAATCATTTAACTGCAAGCAGCAAAATCTGCTTATTTGTGAGACATTTATGTTTTCCATGCAGAAAAAAGTCGGCACATAAGATCGCCTTGTAACAAATGCTGTCATACATCAGCACCGACTGGCTGCACTGATTCCCACTAATACCTCTACGAAAACAGAAATCAGATAAATTACTGTCATTGCAGAAAACATTTTGGTTCCATTCCACATTTGTTTAGACTATGTGGTGTTTAACATGTCATGTCAAAATTGCCCCAAAAGATGAATTAAAGGAATGATTTATGACATAAGGGTATCGATTCCAGTAAAGTTTGAGGTTCTATGGGCCACTTCACATGATCCGTACCCTGGTAAGAGCATATTATGGTTAAATGACAGCATAATGCAGCATTTTTTTTAACACAAGATTGTCAATATGAAATTAATAAAGGAAAAAATAGAACTTTTATAAATATAAATTGCTGTCAGTGGCGACATTTTTCTAAATTCCTTCAATTTCTGGCAGATTTCCCCACTTCCATGACCTATTTCCAACAATGAACAAATGATTTAATGACTTATTGAGCCAGCTCTATTTTGTACTGCAGAGCAATGCCAGGCAGCTGAGCCTGTGAGGGGTAAAAAGACAACTTACTGCGGATCATCTGACACACAATCTGTGTGGCTGAATCTACAGAAGTCAGAAAGCATGGAGGGAAAACACAATCACAAATGAACACAACACTCTGAAGAGAGAAACATCTCATCCACGCGTGCAAATATTAAAAAGCCATGTTTGCAGCTGATAATGAGTTAGTTTGTGACTACGCACCAGCTTAATTTAATTACTAATGCTTGAAACAAATATGTGTGGTGATCTTTGGTTGTGTTAGCTCCTAGGTTAAATGACAAACCTCAAGCCAGACACAAGGGGGCAGTCTTATCCAGAACACAAATTTACTGCAGCACTAAAAGCACTGCTGGCATAAAATAAAAATAATATAAAAAAAAAAAAACACATTATATGGCCATGATCTTAGAATGCAGCTGACACTAAACTATTGAAAAAAGAAAGAAAAAAAAGGAAATGCATGTTTTATTAGACAGCACAAGGGTAACATCAAGGATGCAGCTGTCTTTGTGTCTGTGACCACCACTTGTAGGTTTGGCCTTAACCACAAAGGTCTTCATACAGAGCTGTCTCTGATGTTGGAGGGGTGTGAGAGACAGTGTGGCCTGTGGTTTGAATCTCACAAGATGGGAAAAAAAAGACTAAATCAAGACCAGGCAGATTGTTTGCTAAAAATGGTATTTGTCATATGGTATGTCCTAGTAAAACATCTATTTGCCATATGTTTTGGGGTAGATAGATGTGTGGCTGGGAATATGCTTTAAAGTCAGCTTTACTATAGAATTTCATTGGCACACTTTGAACTATCACTGTGTGATTGCCAATCTAGATTTGGATTCAAAGATATAGACTGAAGAATTACTCATCGATTTTGGTTCAAACTGGATCAAATTTACTTCAGAATGCACTGAAGTTGTTTCCTAATTTGAAATCCCTGAACAGCTCAAAAGCTGCCAACTAAAGTCATGCACAGTTAATCAAAAAGCACATTCTCAAATGTTTCTACTTTCCCAAATTAATCAGTAACAAAAAAGCAAGGATAAGAGAAAAAGTCAACTTTTCAGACTTTCCATGCAGCCCTTTTCAACAACAGATTTTAGCTGGCACTATCAATTTGCCTTCATCTAAAACAGGTAAAAAAGGTCATGCAGTCTTCAGATAGTGACATTCATCATCCACAGAGAAGCACTGCAGTCTCACGTCAAGATCACATGCTGATATAGAAAATTCAAAGGGATCATGGAAATAGAAGATCCCTTCACTTTGAAGTGAATTAAGCCGTTTTAGCTTAATGCAGCAAAGTTTCATTAAATAACAGTGTAGCTGTTGGAGTGAGCTCACTTTGCTGGAAGACTGCTGTCCACCCAAGACGTGCCTTCATCCATTTCAGTCTGTGGCTTTCCCTTCTGCCGGCACGTATCAGTCGTTTCTGTTGATGCGGTTGCCATGGCAGTGGGCACGGGAAGGAAGCTAGACGGACTCAGGGTGACGATACATTTGGGTGAGGTCGGTATTTGACAAGCCTGTTTATCATCTCCTTTTGCATCTGCAGCTACCAGAGAACCAGGAACTCCTTTCCTTATTGCGACATCCTCCTGGTGTGTCACAGGTGAATGCTTCCCAGCTGTGTTGATGGGGCTCGTTTGAAACACGGAGGCGGCCGTGGCATTTGCTGCTAGGGTCGACGAATGGTGGAAGAATTCCTCTGAGCACGAGCGAGCTGGAGTACTGCAGAAAGCAAAGCAAACTAAACCGTTTTGCTGCCTGGTTATTATCCTACATCATAAGACAGCATTCCTCTGGAGAAGCCTAGTTTTTTTTTAAAGACATAAATCTATGAAAATAGCGCATGGTCACAAATTCCTTCAGAGCAGACAAAGTCAAAGCAAAATTCACAAAACAGTCTGCTGTTTGTCATCCTGTGATGAACAGCTACTTTCTGGGAGGCTTATTATTGGACTGTAAATTCCCAGAATACATGGTAGGGAGGGAGAGACTGGCCAGCTGCCGGCAGTGAAAAGGCCAGGCTTCAGTCCCAGCCTGCTCAGGGTCAGGGAAGGAAGAAGGCCTCATTTCCTTACATCCTGAGGGTGGGTCGAATGTTCATGTTCTCTGTGAATGTTTGTTTGTGTGTGGACACATACAGTACATTCTTGTGTGCATCCATATTATATATACATATATATGTATATTTCTGTGTGTCCATGTTTCAGTTGTGCATGCAGCTTTGCTCCTAGCATATGATTGCAGATTTGATGGAAATATATTGTGATATAACTGGAAAGCAACCACTTGGTTCTTTTGTTCTCCCTTTCACTTGATCAAAATTTATGTTCGATTGAAAAAAATCTAGAGAACAACAGATTTCTGATACTTTAGATGTCAAACAGATTTGGTCATTACTGCAACTACAAAAACAGCTAAAAAAAACATGGCACTGGGTATCTGCTCTACTCAACTAATTGAGTGAAACAGCAAAAGCTCTTAAAAAGGATGTGTCAACATTGCAAAAACCAATTAGCTGAAATTGAAAAAAAATTCTAGCCTTGGCTTTATTCAGGAAATATGCAAGATGGGGAAATCCATATAAAATATCCTACAAATCCCCTTTGTCTCGGACAACCATCCGATTTCTATTGAGGATTCACTCCCTTAACATTCTCAATATTCAATCAATGTCACAACATCTGTGCCAGAAGACAATGCTGGAAACTGGAGGCATGACTCTCCAACAGCACTGTGAACGAAACGTCGGTTTGACTAGGAAATAACACCGGATAAGGCCGGACTGCGAAATTACATAAGAGACCTAAACTGACATTTTTCAAGGAGCACTGCAATCACATTGGATTTGTGTGAGCTGTAAAATATACAATGGCATTGTTCTTTGACAGCTCATAATCCTCACCTTGTTTCCTGACACCAAATGTATAATTTGAGACTTTGGGTTGTCCTGCTGCGTACAGACTTTCTGAAATATATAAGCAAAAGGCTGCAAGTGCATTACAGTGTGTCTGAAACTGGTTTAAATAAGATGTGACCCTCTTGCTAACTTACTGTTACCCAAGACTGGATAAAAGGAGCAGTGGAAAAGATGATCTGATAAAAGCAATGCCAAAAAGAAAAATTAAACACCAGCTGGAAAAGTTTTCTACCATGGAAACTGTCTTGAAGAAAACAGTTCTTAGAGATGTTTGTTGAGTATCGTGACTATCACAAACATTGGTTTTGGACAGGTACGCTACAGCTGAAATAAGCAAGATCAATTTTTCAGTGTTTTCTGTGGCATTCAAGAGGATTAGAGTCAAATATATCAAAACTTGCACATGAAACACAGCAAAATACCACTTGATGTAGAATAAGTTAACCTTTTAAAAAACAAAAGTTCAGCTGAAATATTTCTGCTGACTCTACTCATGACCAACAATAATAAAGATCTCTACACACTGAGCACTAAACTCTTCTATCATGGACTTGCAAAGTTTCTTCCTGCAAAAACCAATTGTTGGCATTCACCAGGAGGTTTTAGGCAGAGCCAAAAGAAAAATCATCAGTATTGAAAAAACAATTTCAATTTTGCTCATTTGGTGATTGATTTTCCAAACATAGCAGGAATAACTGTCAATCAAATGGTCAGATTTTTACAGAAAACGTATACATTTCTATCAAATCTGTCAGAAAATCCATACCATCCATAACGTTATTGCACTACCACCCAAAATGCCTATTCTAACCCCAAACAACTCCAAATACTGTTTATATATTATTATCAAACTGGAGTGTAGAATAACAACAGTGTCATGCTATTCGTTTTTCATTTACCTTGGAGCTGGTAGCTTAAAGCAGATATGGATAGTGGTGTGATAATTTTACTTTATTTACTTTTCTGACCCCCCCCCCCGCCTTAGCTGTGACACTGCACAGAGCTCTCTGCAGCCACCTAAAAACTTTACACATATAAAATAAATTTTTGCTTAAAAATCAGAGAAACAATGTGTAAAAGTACAAAAATAAACTTGACGGGTTAAATTAAAAAAAAAAAAAACAACATAAAAAATAGTAATTACAAAAAGGAATGGGGATGTTGATATCTGGTATTGAGAAAATATGAGTGAAGGTTAAGACCTTTGCTCAGAGGTGACCATCAGATGAATTACAGTCTCTCTTGGGGGCTCTGCTTGGGGCTGGGGGAGACTACTGGGCAGAGGCTCACTTCTCCTTCTTTTGCCTGCTGTATGGATCTCAATGCAAGGCGGAGATGCAGACTGCCTCCCTTCGTGCTTGTCCTTTTTAATGTGGTTCTCCTTTTGAATCTGTGTACAGGGTTTAAGGGGCAGGGCGGGGGATGGACTAGGGGATTCTCCAGGAGGGATTTCTAAGCTACAGACCTCATTTAGACTGAGGCATCACCCATTCATGCAACACACACACAGGAGAGGAATACGTAATCACATTGAGAGTAAAATTAGTCACATGAGGATAATCACAACATGATGGTCATAAGACATCAAGCACAAACAGATGTAGGGAGGGTTGGGGAAAGAACGAGTGAAGGACACACCATGACATAAAATAATAAGAGGTGAAGTAAAGAGATGGAGAAGGAGGGAAAGAGGAAAAGAATAAATGCAAAATCAATATGTGAGCTTTGATGGATGAAAAAAATAGGGAAATAACCAATTGGGTGGCAAAACTTTTGCGAGATCCCAAGTTTGTTTTGCGAGATCTCGCAAAACTTTTGCGAGATCCCGAGTTAGTTTTGCGAGATCTCGCAAAAGTCCGTCTTAATTTTTTTTTCTCCCATGTCCCCTGCGGGGCTCCGTACTAAACACCAAACTCAATCTAGTCAATAGCAAACAAGCAACATCGGAAGCTACAAGAGACAATCAAAGCACATCAAGGAATCTGCTGAGCAAGCAGAAATCTGAAACTTGTGATGAAATTTGCATGGTGTCATGCCAGACTATTTCAAAAAGACCTTTTGTTTTAAATCTGCTTCAGACATTTGCTTCAGTCAGAATTAGAGCCAATGAAAACCCACATCTGGCCTCTATTAGCCACTCACATCTGTACAATACTAGAAAAATAATCAAAAGCTGAGAGGTTTTATTACAGACATACGCAATTTGACATAACACCTAATCTTGCCAGTTACTGTAAAAAAAAACAAACTCAAACAAACAAACCCCCCCTAAACATCACTCACACACAAAACATTTTAAAACATTGAAAAATCTCCAACAGCTGATTTGTTTTATCAGTTCTGTATTAAAGTAATTACTTTAAATTATTTCATGGTCTACATCCATATCTACTAATCTCAGCCATCATCTTCAGGCTTATTAACAGGATTTCTGGGCAGTCAAACTTCTTCCATCCGCACCCTGAACTGTGCGCTTTCAGCCAGAACTTTTTAAACAAGCTTTAAAAGGGTTTATCTGCACCAATCAGTGTCAAGCCACAGTGGTGTAACATGTACCCCTGATAATCTGTTCATTAAGCTATTAAACTTCTTTGTTTCTTATTTTGGATTGTGCCCAACTTAACAACAATTGTATATATCGACACACAAACAACAGACACCTTTTAGTATTCCATACATATAATATTATATGATATTTTCAGTTAGGCTAAACTAAATGCCTTTTTGATAGCCAAGTCACAAGAGCACTCTCTAGTGTTACACCTACCTAAGAGGTCTGTCACCCCCTACAGGTGAAGTGGCGGTACTCCAGCTCTTGCGTCCTCCCTCCTCTTTGTCGTTGCTCTTTTTGCGTAGTGGCGTTGGCAGATATCCACTCTGGTTGCTCTTGTTGGGCAGGTACTGGTTAAAGGGTACGGCGGTTCGTGGCTCGCTGACAGACGTCCGTCGTGCCAACATGTCATCCTTACGAACGTCTGGCATCTTCCGGTGAGGAGCGCCGTCAGACTCCGAGTCGCTGCCACGGCCTAATGAGACGAACAGAAGTGTTCACTGGCACCAGAGGACACATTTTTCATCAAAATTGTATTTTTTTTAACCCATATGGAAGAAACAGACTATACTACATGTTATATATGCACTGTGTGTCTTTAGAGACTACACAGCGATGTCTCTCAAAAAGTATTTTGCATGAGAAAAACATAACCACTTTTTTTGCATTGGTCATGGTATGATGCTGTACATCTTGATATGATATGACAGAAACACTGATTAAAAGTTCTGAAATTAAGCAAAATGGCAGGAACAATGCTACCTGCTCATACCGATTTCCTTTACCTTAATGCTAAGAAAAAATAAGCTAAAAACAACAAAACTCAAAGTGTGATAGAAGTAATCAGAAACTCAGATATACTCTACAAAGCACCCAGTTCTCAGCCCATTTACACTTGTGACAAATCATGTAAACACAAGTATGTGTTATATTAAAGCCCCCTTTCAATCACAATGTGTTCAAAAAACGATAAAAAACTACTTCATTTTAAGTATCCTACACAGCAAGAAAACTGTATCTTGCTGAGTCATTGCAAGAGAGAGACAGAGGGAGAACAAGAGGGAGACATAAGAGATTAAACCCAAAAATAAGATCAGAGGAAAAACTGTTGATTGAGGAGTCTCGTGGCAGAAAGCCCAGATTTATTTCTTTAAACCTTCATATACGCTTAACAAAATTACAGTGGTCTAATAGTGTTATTATATGCAGTGCATTTTTGCCACAGAGCATAAATCAGATGCAAGCCTGTTTTTATGAAACAAAGCAGGTGACATAAATCATCACTAAATTTGCATTGTGCAGCTTGTGCTGACTAAATATTAGCACGCAGTTAGACACGGAGTAAATTCTTCCTGTGTGAATCAGATTTTAAACATAATGTTAGCTTTGTAATATCAGTGGTAACACCTGGCTTTGCAGAAGTTTATTGCTTAAGGACTTTCCCTACTTGGGGTCCTAAATTCCTCTGTGCGATGGCCCACTGTGATCCTCTAAAAACATATAGAAGAAAGAAATGAAACTCAGTCTCATTCAGCAGGTCACATGTTTATAGTTCCAGTGATTTACTGAAGATATACCAGTCACATCCACGATTACTTGGCAATGTTTTGCAAACCAAAGCCTAGATATGTTAAAACCCGCAGCAAACAGATAACTGCAGCCTTGCTTTATTCAAGGTCGCTAAAAATTCCTCTCAAAGATGTTCAGCACATGTGCTACTGTCCCCTCCCTTTGAGTGCATGTGTACTCAGACTATGACCTATAAATTTATGACTCAATGTATATATATTCAGAGTACAAACCCAGAATTTTAACCAGATCTGAGTCATAAAATCTTCCCTTAGTTTTGTGGACATACACGTGGAAGCAGCTGTCACATTTGAACTTGTGAAAAGCTTCTTTTTCTATCAAAAGGCTTTTTATGTGGTTTCAAAGATTGACAGATCAAGGTCCAAAAAAGACTTCGAGAAATCTGCACTTCTAACAACGAAGGGTTCAATTATGGCTCTTAACCCATGCAATGGAAACATGAGGGACTCTGCCATCCAAGTCGATCCATCTTTAAGGAACAACATATGTTTTTTACAGGATGATGTGCTCCCTCTGCACATATGGTAATAGTGAAGCTTGGGGTTAGTGTACCAAGATTTTAGAAAAATATAGTGACATCAATAGTCATCATCATCATCATCATCTAGTTATACTGCATTACGAAAGAAAAAGTTACAAAGTGTAGTTCAATAATGATCGCAGTAACTGAAAAGTTGTAACGAATGTCCAAAACACCAAGTATGAAAAGACAAAATGTAAGAACAATGTGAGAAATAATTAATTCAACAATGTGTTGCTAACTACAAATACGTAGCATTTATTATAACTGTACAATGCAAAAAGAAAAACTGGAAGAAATAACACAAATGTACTACTATTAATACCAATAGTAGTAAATAAGTAACTAATACGTAGTATGTATTATTTCCAGTGCATGGAAGCACATCAGTTGCTGATGAAAGTGCATCATCATTAAGACATCCAATGAATGTGAACAAACGTCAGCTTTGTTATATTCATCTGTGAGTCCGCTATTGTCTGAGTGACTTTTATCATCAGATGGTGAGTGCGAGTGTCCATGTGGGTGTCTGTGCACATGCTTGTTTTTCTGACCACTCGAATGTGATCAGAAACACTGACCACATACACCGTACACTGCTGAGACTTTACATCATAATGCACCAACTATCCAGACATCCGAGGCACAAGCCTTCAAGGGAACTTCAAAGAAGAACAACAGGAATGACTACTGAGCTGCCGGGTCCCCAGCTATATGTGTCCGTACAAGCGTTAGTTACACTCTACATTTTAGTTTACAAAATTAACAGTTGTTGCCTTTATATAAGATCATTTTCATTTCTATGCAAACTAAAATTAAAACAAATTAAAAAAAGATTCCAAGTTTGAATACAGACAATATCATTCTTACAATCATAAACTGTTTATGTGGCAGTACGAGAAAAAAGCTATGCTTTCAGTTTATGATGATTTTTCATTGATTATGTATGAAGCCAGGAGTCTGAAAACATAGTTTTCAGACACTTTGGAGAGATATTTTCTACAAGACCTTTAAAACTATCTCAATTACATCATTCAATCATTCTTTCAAACGGCTTTTGACTGGCAGTGGGCGCTGCCCTGTAAACAGAGAAAGTGAGAAGGACAATTTTACTATAGAAGCCCACAAAAGTGCCTCATTTATCCAAACCGTATCCATCTCCACACATAGCCCAAACAAAAGGGCATTGCCAATATTGAATTTCTCGATTGAATCAAAGTTCCTAATTTCTGTCAGGGTGAAGTCAGTTTTCAGTGCTGAACAGAGAAAGGGCTTTGTCTAAAGGTCAGGGCAGGGAAAACCTGCTGGAGTCAAGTTTGTATGGATGTTAACAAAAGGATTCTTTTTTAACCCAGGGGGCTAGATGTACTCAAAGCCCCCTGGGTTAAAAATATCTAGTTTGTACCTGTGGGTCTCATTTGATCACTGATATTTTGATAACCAGGAATAATAAATATCACAAGATTGTGTGATGTTAAATATGTAGCTTTTGAAAGCATGTATGCATCACAAAGTGCTTCTGAAATAAAATAAACTTATCAAAACTTAAAAGGAAATTCCACCACAGGTAGCGGTATGCTAAACTTCAATCTGCCTCCTCAGTTCATCAGCTATCAACTCTCTTCGTTCTTTTCAATCTTTGGATGATATGTAGGTGTCAGCAGTTTGACAGTGTGACTAATCAGCTGTGAGTTACATGTGTCGGTGGAAAAATTGATTAGGTAATGCTTCTGTAGTATAAACAAGAGAGGTTGAAAGAATGTTTGTGGCAGCTTTTTTCGAGGCTATTTTTAAGAAAACAGAGCCCATTTATTCCATCAAGTTTCTTTTTGCGTAATAGTGGAATACCCTTGAAAAGCTAATTTTGGGTCACTGCCGGAAAAACTTGAGTTATTGTCAGATTTGGGAGTCGTCAGGCTGGTGTTGCTTATTGTATGTTTAATTCCCACTTCAAGCATGAAGAGAACGTAGCAGTTTCTTTTTAGGGCTCTATTAAAAGTATATAGTGACTTGTGGGACACCCTGTATAGCGATATCTTGCCTACCTTTATTAGCAAACATGAGTAGACAGACAACAACAATAAACATTTGCCTGGTTTTCTTAACTCTTTCAAGCTGCATGTGCATGTGTGTGCATGTGGTTAACAAGATCGCTAATAAAAGGTTTTCTACCCGCCTGGCACCCCACCAAGCCTACACAGTCCATATTTTTTAATAGACAAAATGACAGCAGGCAGTGCAACCTACGTTAAACTTGAAAAAAAGGTTTAAAAAAAAAAATAAAGAGAAACATGGTAAGGGGTCAACTTTCAGTAGACTGGCTAAAACTTGTTCATTGGCCCATATTTAGGATGTTTTGGATACCATCATCCTAGCACTTTTTTTTAAAAATAGCGAATATTGCTTCTACAGCCAAAAATGAAAGCTACTTATCTACAACAATAAAGTAAACACTTAAAAAAAAAAAAAAACACACAGGATACATTGCGGATTTTTCCCTAAAGCACTATAGTTTGACTGTTGATGACAACAAGGGACAACAGTTTCCTTTTGCACTTCCCTCAAAACAAAAACATAATCAGACAGGATGCTTTTCCTCAGTTTTTCCCACATTCAGCACAGCAATGACAAGTACATTACACTGTGTGACGAACGCAGTAATCTTTTTTATAGTCTACCATTAAAATTTTATACCTTCAAATCCGCAAACAGTCTAGCAATTAGCAGCTTTCAATGAAAGCATGTGGCCAGTTTGGCATTATAAAATACTCATGTTAGACCAAAATGTATTTTTAACTCAATTTCTGACATCAGCCCAAAGCCACGTCAAAGGTTTTGCAGCTTATGCTGGTCTTGCAAGTGCCATGCTACCATGTCGGATGTCTTAAACTGCACATATACAGTAGTAAGCATTTCTCGTAATAAACAACAAAGCAATGTAAACACGTTGAGGGAAATCTAGAGACAAAGACAGAAATTAATGTGACAAATTTAAAAGTATACATATTTAATCTCTATTTGATGCCTTCCAAATAATTACAAAGATCATATTTTTACATATATACATACATTATATGTAACAATATCTTCTGTTCTCAAAACCAAGAGCTGTTAGTTTCATAATCCTTGACATACCAGTCAAGTGTCAGATCAAAACCACTGAAAGCTCCTTCATGAAACCACAACTCTTCCTCTTCTTTGTCTCAGATACTGTATAGAGATATGTCATACCTTCCTTAGTCTTTGGTGCCGTCACTCATCTGAGTGCACACTTAAAGAAACGCATCAAAAAGCCGTAACTAAGGACAAAAGGTTCAAACATCAAGCACAGAGATACTTTTGTGCAGATGGCAATGGTATGAGGAATGGTACAAACACCTTAAGACTGCGAGCTGGGACAAGTATGATAGCTGAGACTATTTTCATTCATACTAGATTTAATTAGATAAGCAACAGAGTTAATAAAGAAATAGAGTTATAAAATAAATCTACTGCATTGTGCATTTTTAGGGGAATTAAGGACTAAGATTTCATAGAGCTTTCCCTGAATAAGCAGGGTTTAAGTGTTTCACTGTTTAAACTACAGCTTAAAGTCTCCCTGCTTACTTCTTCATAAGGACAGGCTCTAATTTGTACTGTAACAAGAAGTACTTTTCAAAATTTCTAAACAAAAAGAAAGGACAAAACAGAAGCTGTGTGGCTGTTGCTGCCTTGCCAACTTCATCTTTTCATAAATTTTGAATTTTCCCTTCCAAAAAGATGAATAAATGAAATGCCTTTGGTGTTACATCACCTGCTTGTTGGAGCATATGTTAATATTACATAACTGAAATGTGTTTGAAACCAAAACAAATGTGGACAGATTTGTTATTGAAACTAGACTCTAGGATGTTTTCTGACACTGCAGATTGACGTCAGATAAGGTGAAGAACACAGAGAGCTTTAATACGGTGCGATTGTAGCCCTTGGTCTAAGAGAGGTAAGACACTGGAACTGAGCCCAGCCACTACTGAATTCCTTTTACAATGTACATTACCATGGCTTAAATATAACAAGAGCCATAAATTGACTTCAAAACAGTACAGAGATTATTCATGTTATTCTCTCAAACAGCCTTTGACTTGAACTGGGCGTTGTCCTGCAAAAACACAGCCAGAACAACAAGCCTTCATACAGTAGCATTCAAAGCACAATAAACCTCATTTATCTATATGTTGCATCTGTGCACCTTGCCCAACCTGCACAAAGACTTACTTCTCACTCACAGGAAAAACAGCTATAGCTAAAACAACACAATGGCTACTGAACATATTTAACCTGCAAATTGTGATTTAAAGGGTGGCCATTGTAACCAGTCTTTCACAGTCAACTAAAACTAGCAGTTCAGTGTGAATCGAAGAGTGTATAGACTAGATTTTTTTCCTACCATCACTGCTGCCGCGGGCGACCAGGACGTCTGGTGACGGGGTTTGTCTTGAGCGTGATCCGAAGGAGTCCAGGCTGTCGAATGAATCCTCGCGCCCGTGGCGTGGCGGAGAGAGAGAGTCGCTGCGCTCAGAGTCCCAGCAGTCAATGTAGCCACTGTCCCGGATGCTGCGTTTAGGGCTCTCTGCCTCTTCTGTCTCCTGAGAATGCATACACACATTTTACAAAATGCATGAGCACAAAAAAAAGAGTGATAACAAAAGGTGGAGAGTAATGAAAGTAATCAAACACCCTAAAATGAATTAGGAATTTTCACTGCATATTCCATCAGTCGTCACTGAAGTCCCCCAAACTTGTGTTGTTTGGCCTTTGTGTCCACTACAGCTGTCATGCTGCAAGTCTCCACTCTGCCCACATCTATTTTTCCAATAACCTCTCTCTTCTTCTACCTACATCACTCTTCATCATTTTCTCTTCACCTTAGTGACCCCTCCCTTTCTCTGTCCACAGCTTTAATGTGTTGTTGCAGCTAATGGAAGGTGGGGAAAGGCCTTTCCTGTCTACCAAAAGACTTCCTGCCCATGACCCCTCTACCATCTGTTATGCAACTCCCAAACTCTCCTAAATGTCTTTGTTATGCTTATAAAACAGGCTCTACAGCAGCAGAAGTCATGTGTGATTTGTTTCTTTCACTTTTACACAATTTAAACCAATATATTATAACTTATATACCACTATACCAGTTAAGTAAGAAAATATGCATCTCCCTCGTAACTCACCCTTTAACACAAGCACTTAAACTAAGCTTTTTACAAAAAGTAAATAAGAGTGCAGCTGAGCTCACATTTACCTGCTTAGTGCTTTTCAATCATCAGTTTTGGTAAGGTCCAGCTTCCATTTAGTAACTGTTGGAAGTGTGGCGGGAAGTGAATAGTCACTCTGGAATTTCATGCACCTGCACATGATGAGCTTTCCTTCATTTTATCAAAGTTTTTTTTGCTTTGTGGAATTATGGCTTTGTGTTGTCCGTCTGCAACGTATGAACATCTGGGAAAGTATTTTTGCTGAATTGGCAGCAATTTCCCAGTTTTACAGAATAGCAAAAGGACGTCACATAGTGGAATAAATTGCACAGAACTGACATCATGGCTACGAATGACAGTCACAGAGGGTGTATGCATGTGTGCGTCTTGAGGGTTTGCCATTTCTAACTTTTCTCCTTTTTCTTGGGTCATTAAAAAGGTAAAAGGTAGGTTAAATTCAATTTTCTTGACTGGAACTCGGGTGAAAGGTGTTTTCTCAGAAATGTTAGGACAGCGAAAAAACACACATTTTCTGAATCTCAGTTCCAAAATAAGTGATTCTGCAGAAGCTGTGTGTCATGCCTCAGGTCACTTTGGCTGTAGAAATGAATTACTGCAGGGATCAAATATTTAATATAGCATATGGTCTCCCTACCTATTACACTTTATAGCTCTGGTTACTAAGAGAGACATAATGGGGGGGAAAAGCAAGTGCTGACTATATTATCCATGTACTTGAGATTTCCATTATATTTTTATCGCTGGCATAAACATGAGCTATCCAACCTTTCGCATCTGTGACAGCAGGCCCTCAAACTCTTTCAGGTCCAACGTGGGCCCGTTGTAGGATGTACAGCTATTGGCAGCACGACCCAACCAGTAGATAGTAATTAAAACCTGAAGAAAAGAAGAAATGCAGACACAAATCATGAAAAAATATCAGCTGATCTTTCCAATAAAAGAAAAGCATGAAACAAATTAACCTTTTAAAACTAAAGAGCTACTTGATCACATTTCAATACCAACTCAAAGCACTCTGTCTTAATTCCAGTCGGCCTTACATCACCTTAAACAAATTGTACAGTCCAACAATATTAAACTTATTAATTTAGAAAAATAACATTAAAAATTAGTTTTCAAATCCTAATTGTCACTAGCAGAGAAAAAGCAGTCTGGGCAGCAGCCTCACAGGCCACTGGCATCCCAAGTCTTCAAAATGATACCCTGGATTCACACTGTTCACTAGCCTGTCAACTCAAAATATGCTACACGGGTGTATCTCTGGTATGTTCATGCAGCAAAGCAGTCAAATAGCTATAAATAATATTGGATGCATTGAAGGAAAAAGAAAAAAAACAAAGAAAAAACTACAACAAAACACCCACTCTCTTGCTTTCACTTTTCCCTTTTTTGTAAAACAGTGCCAGCTAGTTTCCTGGTAATTGCAGCCCAGCCTCTTCCAAAGAAGTGATAAGTTAGCAAACGCAGCTGGAAGAAACACAACAACACTGAGGCACTGTTCAGACACCGAAACTGGTCACAGGCACTTCTCTTGCTGACATATAGCCACCTTTCTGTGGTCACAGTGATTTATAATTGCCTGTTAGCTAGCTTAGTGCTGAGTATATCAGTTACCCGGTCATTCTTAACTCTCTGAAACACATTAACAGCAGCTGAATGAGCAGCTGAAAGAGCCTCTACTTTTGTTTTGGCACCACTGGTTGTAACAAATGCCCCAAAGTAACTGACTGTGGTTGAGGAACCAACGAACTGAAGTTCTTTTGTCAGCTAAATGTCTAAAATGCTAAATTTACACACCGACTCCAGCCAAAGGGAAATCACACAGAGCTGCACCTTTAACACTGTTGGCAAAGAGCTCCCAGCTATATTTACTGTGTCCATGTCAACGAGCTGTCCACAGGGAGCGCTTTGATAAGAAAGCTCAGCAAGGCTTAATGTGTTTATTTCAGTCATACTGTCAGTGTAAACAACTTCTGCCATTCAAGCGCAGTTGGAGGGAGTGCAAAAGAACCAGTCTGCTGATCAGAATAAGCACAAAGCTAAATGAGACCTTTTATGTGAAGCTGTGTTGGACGATGAAGATAAGTTAAACCTTATTAAAGGGTGAAACATCATTGAGCTGCAACTGGGGACAGTTCCATCGATCAATCATTGACTCTAACTATTATACAATTTTAGTTTCATAAGCCATATTTTCAGAACCACATGAGATTTTTTATCTAATATCCTGAAACTACAGAGGTGAAGCTGTGACAACACAGCTGCTGAGGTTTAGCTTCATTAGCTGCATACTGCAGCTCTCTCAGCAGCAGAATATGGAGTTTCTGTGTCACCACAATAGCAGATTCATGCCAACTCCCACTGGAACTGGGTCAGCACCAAATGTGTTTCACTTGCTTACTATTGTGCTGTAAACACACCCTTATCAATCCCAAACTCCACAATCACATTCCAAAACTCTGTCTGTATGATTTACACATGCAGCACTAAACCAACCAATACTTAACGAAGAGCATTCTTAAAGAATTTCAAAGGCAAACTTTAAGTACATGTCAGCGGAGTTTCGACAGTCAGGAATGAAAATAAACGACGTGACAGCAGAATAATGCATAGCGTCACACATGCTTTGCCTTGTCAATTTCAGCAGCTGCCTGTCAGTGCACACGTGGACAGACCTGTCAAGGAAGTTCCACTGGAAAACAACATTCACCTTTTTGGTTCATGTGCAAACACACTTAAAGTCACACACTGCAGGGTCATGAACGAAGCCAAAATTCCACCTATTATGTCAGGACCTCAGCACTATCCAGTGCATGCAGACATGCATACAGATACAGATTTTGTTTTGTTACCTCACAGTCATCACTATGCATAATCAGGCCTTCTTCTTCACACCTTTACCTGCTAAATAACAGTCTCATGAACACAGCAGATTCAGCAGTATCTTATCCAGGCATACCTCTTTTAAAAATGGTAACGTCCCATCTGCTGTTTGCTAAACAACACCTTTGTCATCACATCAGCAAATTCCTCTCGATGCAGTTTCGTCACCACTCAATATTTGATGTGTTGCAGAGACAGCTGCTGTCAAATCCTAGTCCTTAGTCCTGAATCTACAGAACATCACAGCAGAAGGTTCCTTGCAAAAGTGTTGGCTGCTGGGAATATGTTAGCCATTTGCCACCGCTGCAAATGCTGGCGTCCCCCATGTTTAGTCAGCTAAATGAGCTAACAGGCCTGACCAGTGCTGCAGTTCGACACTTTAACTTGTACAGTGCACAGCAGCATCACAGAGAGAGGAGGGGAGGACAGAGACATAGCGAGAGAGAGAGAGAGCGCGAGTAGAACTGCTTTGACTGCAGAGTAGGCAGAGCCAGCATTGTGTGTTCTACTTCTTAAAGCGGCATTATTAGAAAAAGGAAAGGAGGTGCTGATTTGAGCAGACAGTGACTATAACGGGCTTCTAAATAATTAAAAGGCTGAAAGAGAGGCAAGAATAAAGACGCCTGAAATCAATCTAGACTCACAGAATATGTAGAAATAGTTGACTTCGAAGGTGCAAGAAAACACTAAGCAAAAAATATGAAAAACCAACATACCATCTAAAACAAACAAAGTAAGATGCATGAACAGATGCACATAAATAGGGTAAAGTGGAAAGGTAATAAAGGATAATACAGACAGAATAGAAACTAGATATTTAACACCATTTCATAGTAAGACTTGTGTCAAGGTACTTTATGTAAAGGTAAATGCCCCACAATATAGAGAAAGAACCCCAGTGATCCAGGCCCAGGGACAAGAACGTAGAAAAGAGGAACAACTTTTTAACAGGAAAACACAGAGGTGGATCACAGATTAGTAAGAGCCATTGAAATCATGGATAGTGAAAGCAAAAAGAGAAACACAGCACCAGAATAACACTTTCTTTCCAAACATGTATTTAGCACACAAACAAATTATCCCACTGTAACCTGACAGTATCACTTACATTCTTGAGCTTTCGACTGCCGTCACTTCCCCTGGAGAATGAAACACAGAGAGAGACAGACAGAGGAGGTAGTGAGACTTCTGGTTCTATTCAGTGAAGTGCCTTACATAAAGATAACAGCAGACAACTTCAAGATGTGCCATCTCCCACATATCTATGTGAAACAGCAGAAAAAACTAAACTTTGTGAAATATAAGAATCTGCAGTGACTGTAGCCCACGCACAGAAAGCTAACATTTTGGCAAAACCTTTCGTTAACAGTCTTAGCAACTGAATAACTGCTGAAATAGAAAGGAAAGAAACACTGAAATTTAAAATGGTAAGTCCAGAATTCACAAAGAGAAATACTTTTGTAGTAGAAAGAAGAGACACGCGCTATAGTGGTAGCCTAGTGAGTTGACTGACAACTGATCTCTGGGAGGTGGAGCGTCTCTAAGAGAACACCACAGCGGAGGCCACTTAGCACCACAGACGCTGCCAAAATGAAGTGATGTGAATCTTGCGGATTACCATGTGAGCTATAAATGGGAAGTGGAATGAAGCAATTGTAAACCTGACTAAAATGCACTCATGTTGTAGAAATACAAATTTCTAGGCTGAGAGGTGAAAAACAAAGACAGAGAAAACAAAGGCTAAAACACAGACACATACAGGAAGTGTGAGACTTTGTTTTCTTAAATAGTCTCAATCACATAAAATCCACAATCTGCCTTTTCTTAAGCTGTGAAAGACACGTGAAGCCTGATGAATGGCCAAAAAAAAAAGAAAAAAAAAAAAAAAAAAAAAAAAAAAAAACAGGCAACAAAAACATTTAAAGTATTCTTAAACTAGAGTTGATTGCAATTATGTCCTGCCACAATCTTTGTACCTGGATCAGCGCAGCATGAGAGGATCACAGGATCAATAAATTGTTAGAATTGATACTTGATTAATTAAACATTAGCAACTTGGGAAAAGCCAGAATAGTTATTATATCTTAGTATCAAGGTCAACAAAAATAACTAATGTATATCATACCAGCATAAGGTCATTTCACAACATTTTACTTTTTTTTAAAAAAAATATATCTTTATGGACAATGTATAAAAGGTCAACTTAAAAACAATTAATTATGGGAAACTCATATTTAGCTTAAATGTTACAGTTTTTTAAAATTAAGAATAATAACCTTTAATTTGGAAAAAAAGCATAATGGATGGGAGGGATACCAGGAAACTATGTATAGCCAAGAGGTGAACACGAATTAGACTGGAATTATCTTTTGCTGGGCTGCTTATAGGCAAATGTAGAGGAGTTCAACCAGAGATGCTTGCGCACTTTTTCTTTTCATGTAGTACACTTGTTTTCATCAACAGTACATTTCCCAAGACTCCAAAGACTGCTGAACCAACCCATTTGTTTGATGTATAACTGCACAAAGCAG